TTATTTACAGTTCAAAAGCTCACAATGATGGACAGATCTCTCTGATACTTAGGAACTGAAAATGTGAAGCCATTTATATTTAATCAGCTTCCTTCACTGAAACTCTTCTGTGTGTGTGTACATTATTTTTCAAACCAGATAATCCAAAAACTGAACTATTAGGTTGAGTTAGTAATTTTTTAGTGGCTTCTTTGTTTCCTTTTTGATTTCTTTCAATAAATGGCATGCACTTAAAAAGAAAAGCCATCTCGTGAATAGCTTTACAAGGCACATCCAGCTTTATCTAATTATTATTCCATGTAAAATGCCCATTAATTACAGCTCCTTGCTTCTTGATATAGAAAAGATCAAGAGATAAAATCTGTGTCCCATTCCAAAAACACTTTGAATTCACGATGACATAAAGCCTGGATTCTATTTTCTCTTGTTAGAATATAATAAAATATTCTCTATACATAATAATTTGGATAATTTATGTTGGTTAGCATATATGAATCCATCTACATATATATATATTGCAACTTTCATTTCAATAAATATAAAAGAATTATTCAGTATTTTTTCTTTCATAACCCTTTACGTGGTATCAGAGATAGGGTTAAGGTTAGGGTTTTAGGGGTCAAATTTTATCAGACTAAATTAAAGATTGAACAATCCATTCCCGGCGCCGGAGGAAATCGACCAGCAATCTTTGGCCAGTTCAGAGTGTGGCCAGCACGGTGGTGTACGCCGGAGAAGCTGAGTCGGCGGTTTACGCGGCAGTTTGAGGCTGTGTGCGTCGGGTTTGCCGGAGGAGGGTATTTCGATGCGTTTTGCTTTCCCGTTTGAGGACAGAAGCTACCAAGGAGCTTAGTCAGCCGGTTCTGTGCACAAAACCAGAAGGCCGGAGAATAGAAAACTGCCGTGAAGTAGATCACGCAACAAGTTTTTTTTTTTCAAGTTTTCCGATGTGATTCGAGGTGTTTTCGCGAGCCCCTTTTGGATTTCGGTTGTCCGGTGGGGTCTATGGTGATTTTCAGCTAAAAGGAGGCATTTTGGTGATTTTCGGCGGCATCACGCGGTATTCTGGCGGTGGCTTGTGTTGTGGTGCGTGAACTCCAATGGTTGGTAGTTAGATTCTAGTAGGATTGTTGACAGCTGTGCGTGAAGAAATATTATGTTTTCTCAAATTTTTCTGATATGTTTGTAGTGTTTTCTGGGTATCTCTGACTGTTGAGGTTTGGGTATTATGAGTGATATATTTTTAGTTCCTGAATTGAAATGGATGATAATATAGTCTGCTATTACTGCTTTGAATAAGGGCATATAAAACGATATTGTAAGAATTGCAGAATTTTAATCGAATGACACAGACTGCTAATATTGTTGCTGCTACTGCTAGCTCATCATCTGAGAGAATTCTTATGATTTCAACTGAAAAGTATACTAAATTCACTCAGTATCGAGAATTTTTAAATAAATTTTTTACTTTTGCCGAATCAGAGGAAAAATATCTTATCTCTTCCTCAAACAAATAGGTGATTGATTTTGGTGTTACAGATCACACGACAGGTAATCCTAATATTTTTTCTAATTTTAATAACACAAAACACATTTTATATGGTAACAAACAAAAATTACTCTAATTATTTTCTTCCTAATTATGCTTACATATTTGAAAAGATAGTTATATTTTTATGTATAGAGAATATTTTATAATATTGTAACACTCCCCCTCAAGTTGGAGTATAAATATTAATCATGCCCAACTTGTTCCAAAAATACTCAATCCGTGTTCCATTTAGAGGTTTTATGAATATATCACCAAATTGTTCTCTTGTCTTCATATAACCAGTAGATATAAAGTTTTCCTAAATTTTTTCTCGGATAAAGTGACAATCAACCTCGATATGTTTGTTTCTCTCATGATACACAGGATTTGAGACAATATAAAGGGCAACTTGATTATCGCACCAGAGTTTTCCAAAAGATGTGGACTTTAAACCCACTTCATCTAACAGATGATGTATCTATAAGATTTCGTATGTGAACTGTACCATACCTTTATATTTGAACTCTGCGCTTGAGTGAGATACAACTATTTACTTCTTACTTTTCCATTATATGAGATTTCCACCAACAAAAACACAACATCCTATAGTACACCTCCTATCAATCTTAGATCCAGCCCCATCAGCATCTGTAAAATATTCGATGTGAATATACTCATAATTTCTAAACACTATGTCGAGCCCCAGGACACCTTTCAAGCAACACAAAATCTGTTCCAAAGTCTGTCAATATTTGACTGTAGATACTGGCATAAATTGACTAACAACACTGATAGACTATGCTATATGTGGACGAGTCATAATGAGATAATTCAATTTCTCAACTAGTCGCCTGTATTTTTCTGGGTTATCAAGGGGATCACCATCATCTTTTGTAAGATGTATATTTGGTACCATTGGTGTATTGCATGACTTAACTCCCAACTTTCCCATTTCTGCAAGTAGATCAAGTACATACTTTCTCTGAGATAACAGAATCCCTTCCTTACTTCTTGTTACTTCAACTCCAAAAAAGTATTTTAACTATCCCAAATCTTTGATATCAAACTTGGTAGGCAAGAATGACTTGAGAGAAGATATTCCTACACGGTCATCTCCAGTAATCACAATATTATCAACAAAAACAACAAGAAATATAATATCAGCTATTGATTGTCTATAAAAGGCTGAATGATCACACGTACTCTTCTTCAATTCGAACTCACATACTACTTCACTAACCTTGCTAAACCATGCACGGAAACTCTGCTTCAGACCATACAAAGATTTCTTTAAACGACAAATTTTTCTATACTCCCCCTGAACAACAAACCTAAGTGATTGCTTCATATACACTTCTTCTGAGATATCACCGTGAATAAATGCATTTTTAATATTCAGCTGCTGTAAGGGTTAATCTCGAGACACTGCAATAGATATAAATAAACGGATAGAGGTAAACCTGCTCACTGAAAAAAATGTATCAGAATAGTCCACCCCATAAGACTGAGCATAGTCTTTCACTACCAATCAAGTTTTAAGTCTTGCTATAGAATCATCTTAATTCACTTTGATTGCAAATACTGATTTGCACCCTACCATCTTTTTTCCTTTGGGTAAATCTACCAAATTTCAAGTATGATTATCATCATGAGCATTTATCTCCTCAAGCATAGCATTACGCCAACTAGAGTGATTCAAAGTCTCCTTAACTGTCCTGTGTATAGAGGTTAAATCTATATAAGTAATTAAAGCACTCGATGAGGAAGACAGATGGTCATATGATATAAAATTAGCAATGCAATAAGTTGGCGTAGGGATGGTGCACTGATGTTTACCTTTACAGAAACCAATAGAAAGATCAAGATCCTGTGAGGCAGAATCAGATGATGACAGATCTGATGCAGAACATGTATCATTAGTTTGTGTCTTCTAAAATAAACATGAACAATTGGTGATGCTACTTGGGTCAGAGGCACACGAACACTATCATCAACTTGTTCAAGTGGAGCTGCAAGCATATCATCTGGAAAAACACTTTTATCTATTTGTTCAGTAAAGGCACCTGATGTAAAACTATAGATGAGCTACTCGTCGTCCACATCCTGATTTGTAGACTTGAATGATGAGGAGAAGAACAATATATTCCTTGAAAAAACCACATCAGTTGATACCAAATACTTATTGAGATATGGAGAGTAGTACTTGTATTCTTTTTGAATTCGCGAATATCCCAAAACTACACACTTCAATGCATTTGGGTCCAATTTTGTCACAGTAGGTCGCACATCTCAAACATAACAGGTGCTACCAAATATCTTAAATTGCATCGGGAACAAAGGCTTATTTGGAAAAAGAAGACTATAACAAACATCTCCATCAAGCACTATAGATGTCCTACGATTAATCAAGAAACAAACTGTAGAAATGGCATCAGCCCAAAATTGCTTAGAGACTTGTGTTTGGAACAAGATGGCTTGAGTTATTTTAAGTAAATGTCTGTTCTTTATCTCAGCGACCCCATTTTAAGATGGTGTATCAACACATGAGAATTGATGAAGGATCCTGCATTGCGTCATATAGTTCTGAAATGAATCTGACATATATTTCTTAACATTATCACTTCTCAATACATGTACCGAAATATTGAATCGTATCTTGACTTCAGCACAGAAAGCACAAAAGTAAGAAAATAATTTAGAACAATTCTTCATAAAATATATTCAAGTCATTCGAAAAAAAATCGTTCACAAAAGTAACGAAATACGTGAACCCAATTTTGGACAGAACAAGGCAGGCACCCCAAACATTAAAATGAACTAACTTAAAAGCAGACTTTACTCGTTTATTGACCCTTGAACCCGATGAACTACGATGATGCTTTACAAACTTATACGACTCATAATCCAGTGAGGGTACATCATAAAACTAAGGACATACCTTCTTCAACACAGGTAGAGATGAATGTTTCAATTGACAATGTGCTTCAAATGGAAAGATAATACTAAAGCAGGTAACTGATCGAAGTACCCAAGTATCAAAAATGCAAAAACAACCTGATATATTTTCTTTACCAATAATCTGCTTCGTCATAAGATTTTAAAGAACACAGTGATCAGGAAAAAATATAATATAACAATTCAAATCTTTAGTAAACTTATTTACAGATATAAGATTGAAGGCGAGCTTAGGTAAACTTAATATAAATGACAGAGTAATAGATGATGTTAGTTTTGTGGTCCCCAAAACCACAATATTATATGTCGATCCATCAGCAATAGTTACAATATGCTTATATGTATATATATAACAACTTTTATTTCAACAAATATATAAGAATTATTCAATATTTTTTTCTTCCTAACCCTTTACACCTCTAATAGCTGGTCAATTAAAAGGTAGTCCTGAAATGTATAAGTTTTCTTCCTTCATTGCATGTCGGCTAGGAGTTCAGGTTTATAACGTCTTTGATAATATTATTGCTTACCATAAGTGTGTATAATTTACACTTGTGTGATTCTTTTGTGGAACACTTGTGCTAATTTACTATCCCACATAGGATTGATTATTTTGTGGTTTTTTCTTTTTGGTATCCCTGCAACTGGGGGTTGTAATTAGCCGGGATGGAACTTGAGATGTTAAGTGGGTGTCATCTGAGCTACAAGGCTCTGGTGGTTAGTTTGTGTTCTACTTGCTTGGTTTATTTTTGTTTGTGGGTGCTAACAATACATATCCTTTGGGATGTGAAATTGAAGCCCGAGCTCCTGCTATTTTCTGTTTGTCTTCCTGAAGTATGTGTTGATTGTCCCTCATATTAGGCAGCTTTCATTGTGAAAACTGGATGCATATATATTAGTTGCCCAGAGACTGTTATTTCTGGGGATTTTCCCTCTAATGTCAAGATATTTTCTGGCTGCAGGCAGTTCTGAATTTGCAGGTCCCTGTGGAGCATTCTAAGGAAGTTAATGATTGTAAAAATCTGATTAAGACCTTGGTTATGGGTAAGTGATCCTGCTTGATTTTTTCACTCATCTATGGTCTTATTAACATCAAATAGTGATGAACAATAATTTCTGGATCTACTAAAGTAAGATTCAATTATATTCTCCATTTTTACTACTTTCCTCTCTTTAAGTTAACTGGTATTGGCTGGATTCACTTTTAGGGATGAAGACAATTATTTGGACCATCACACATGCCCATTTGCCCCGCAATCAGGTTTGATATTCTCTATCTGCTAGTTTCCTTGGTATAGGATTCATCTCATTGTCTTGGATCATGCTTTTAATGTTAAGGTTTCTCCTTCAACTCATGGAACACACCCACAAGCTCTTGTTTCACCATCATCTAATTTGCCAGCTCCTCAGGCCTTCAAAGGGATGAGAGAAGAAGAGGTGATGTGCATGAGATAATTTATTCTACTTTGGTTCTTTGCATTATAACTTCATCTGAATTTTGACTTCCTAACAGCTTTGGAAAGCATCTGGTGTCTTGAAAGGTGGTGTGCATTGCCTAGCTCTGTTCAAGGAGAAGGAAGAGGAGAAAGAAATGCTTCAGCTCTTCTCCCAAATTTTGGCCATTATGGAGCCTCGAGATCTAATGGACATGTTCTCATTGTGTATGCCTGAGCTTTTTGAGTGCATGATTAGCAACACTCAACTGGTTCAGATTTTTTCCACCCTTCTTCAAATTCCAAAAGTATACCGACCATTTGCAGATGTTTTGGTTAATTTCCTTGTAGGCAGCAAACTTGATGCTTTGAAGAATCCAGATTCACCTGCAGCAAAATTAGTTTTGCATCTATTCCGGTGTATATTTGGGGCTGTTGCTAAAACACCTACAGATTTTGAACGTATTTTGCAACCTCATGTGCCCGTTATCATGGAAGTTTGCATGAAAAATGCCACTGAAGTTGAAAAACCTCTTGGTTATATGCAATTACTGCGGACAATGTTCAGAGCACTTGCAGGATGCAAGTTCGAACTCTTACTCCGTGACTTGATTCCTATGTTGCAACCCTGTCTAAATATGTTGCTAATAATGCTTGAAGGTCCAACAGGAGAAGATATGAAGGACCTTTTGTTGGAGCTTTGCTTAACTTTGCCAGCACGTTTAAGCTCTCTGTTGCCATACCTATCCCGTCTTATGAAGCCTCTTGTATTATGCCTTAAAGGAAGCGATGACCTCATCAGTTTAGGTTTAAGAACACTTAAGTTTTGGGTAGATAGTTTGAATCCCGATTTCCTGGAACCAAGCATGGCCAATGTGATGTCAGAGGTTATTTTAGCATTATGGTCTCACTTGAGGCCTGCTCCCTATCCTTGGGGTGGGAAAGCATTGCAACTCCTTGGGAAGTTAGGTGGTCGTAACAGACGATTTCTCAAAGAGCCCCTTGCACTTGAGTGCAAAGAGAATCCAGAACATGGTCTTCGGTTAATTCTTACATTTGAGCCTTCAACCCCATTTTTGGTGCCATTGGACAGATTCATCAATCTTGCAGTAGCAGCTGTTATTCATAAAAATGTTGGCATAGATGCTTTTTATCGAAAGCAGGCTTTGAAATTTCTTCGTGTTTGTTTATCATCTCAGCTCAATTTGCCTGAAGTTGTTACCGATGAAGGGTATACACCCAGGCAATTGTCAACTTTGTTAGTTTCTACTGTTGATCCATCTTGGCGCAGATCTGAGACAATGGATATAAAGGTTAATTTGATATAAAGCTCTGTTGCTTCATATCTTTCTGTACCTTCACTTCTAGTTCTTTACATTTGTGACCAAATCTCCGTTGCTTTGAACTGTTATAAGGTTTCCTTTTCCTTTATTTATTTGTAAGTATGGTTTTCTTTCCACTACTTCTATGGGTATTAGGCACCATTGGTTTAAAAGACTGCATGGATGGCATTCTCTTGATGCCATTTTAATGAATGTCCTTCTCTCTCTCTATTTTCAGAAAAGAGACATTAACAATTAATTAATATCCTGAGCCGACTTATTAGTTTATAGGACATGTCTTCCAAAAATTCTTTTTTCACGATAAATTGTTACCAGACTGTTCATGTGAACGTTCTATAGAAAGTTGTGATGCCTGCTTATTTTGTTTGCTCAGCATATATTTGATCATAGGAAGTTGGAACTGTAAGGGATGGTGATGATGGGAGAGTTGTATTTCAATATTTGAATATTTATGGATTCAATTCGGTTGTAAGGAGGCTGTATTTTTTGTTATTGCACCATGTTTATTAAATGGCCAGTCTCCACATTAGAGGATCTTCATATGAAGTCTCTCTAACAGTATTTCCTAGATGGTAAAATCTTTATATTATAGATATATTAGAGATGGTTTATGTACCACTACAGAATGGCCTTACTGAATGCTAATGTTGATTCTTAGGTTCTTTTTATGATTTGTATCTTTCCTCGTCCTCTTCTTGACTTACCAAATCTTTTGTTTTTATAATTTTGTATTGGTCAATAACTTAGGAAGTTAGATAATGTTTGTAGCAATACAATCTTTTGTCGCCAAATTGAAGCTTCCTTCACTTTTGCAGGCTGACTTAGGTGTAAAGACAAAGACCCAACTTATTGCTGAGAAGTCCGTTTTCAAGATCCTGTTAATGACCATAATTGCTGCTAGTTCAGAATCGGATCTCAGTGATCCCAAGGATGACTTCCTTGTCAACATTTGTCGCCATTTTGCAATGATTTTTCATATAGATTCTAACTCAGCCAGTGCATCATCTGTGGCTCCTCCACTTGGAAGCACTTCGCATTTTTCAAATTCCAGGACAAAGAGTAGTACTTCTTCGAACCTGAAAGAGTTGGATCCCTTGATATTTTTAGATGCATTAGTTGATGTTCTGGCAGATGAAAACAGGCTACATTCCAAAGCTGCTCTTAATGCTCTAAATGTGTTTGCTGAAACACTATTGTTCCTTGCTCGCATGAGACATACTGACATACTTATGTCAAGAGGAGGTCCTGGCACTCCTATGATTGTTTCTAGTCCATCAATGAATCCTGTCTATTCACCACCCCCAAGTGTGCGAATCCCAGTTTTTGAGCAACTTCTGCCTCGGCTTTTGCACTGCTGCTATGGCAACACATGGCAAGCACAAATGGGAGGTGTTATAGGACTAGGTGCTTTAGTTGGAAAGGTCAATGTTGAGATATTGTGCCATTTCCAAGTAAAAATTGTTCGAGGTCTAGTACATGTTCTCAAAAGGCTTCCAGTGTATGCTAGCAAAGAGCAGGAAGAGACAAGTCAGGTTCTAACACAGGTTCTTCGAGTGGTAAACAATGTTGATGAAGCAAACAGTGAACCACGCAGGAAAAGTTTTCATGGAGTAGTTGATTATCTTGCATCTGAGTTGTTCAATGCCAATGCATCTATCATTGTGAGAAAGAATGTGCAATCATGTTTGGCACTTTTGGCTAGTAGGACAGGTAGCGAGGTGTCTGAACTGCTTGAGCCTTTGTATCAGCCTTTGCTTCAGCCTCTTATAATGCGCCCCCTTCGATCAAAAACTGTTGATCAACAGGTTAAATTCTTTTGTTAAATATCACTATACAATTTGTTGACTTTTTAAGATAACCTTATTGTATGGCTTACAGGTTGGGACAGTTACAGCACTAAATTTCTGTTTAGCCTTGAGGCCACCTCTTCTGAAGCTGACTCAAGAATTAGTTAACTTCCTTCAAGAAGCATTGCAAATAGCTGAGGCTGATGAAAATGTATGGGTTGTGAAGTTCATGAACCCTAAGGTTGCCACATCGTTAAACAAACTTCGAACTGCTTGCATTGAACTGCTTTGTACGACAATGGCTTGGGCTGATTTTAAAACTCCAAATCACTCTGACCTGCGTTCGAAGATAATTTCCATGTTTTTCAAGTCTTTGACGTGTCGGACACCAGAAATTGTAGCTGTTGCAAAGGAGGGCCTAAGACAGGTTTTGGCTTATATCTTGTTTTAATTCGTTTATCATTTGCCTACGCAAGTATGCTTGTGTATGGCTGTAGAAATGATTGGCTGTAATGTGGCGTTATTTCCAATTTTATATAGCCTGTGAACTCCTGAAATGTAATTTTTCTCCATTATCTTGTTGCTTTCTTAGTATTTAGATAGTTGTGAAGTTTCATGGAGGCTGAGGAAATTTAAAATGGCCATCTAATGTGCTCTCTAATTTAATCAAAATTTTCATATGCCTCTTATGTTTTGTTTTGTGAAATTCAGGATTTTTTTTCTCGTCTGTTCTATTTCATTCAGGTTATTAATCAGCAGAGGATGCCCAAAGAACTTCTACAGAGCAGCCTGCGACCTATACTTGTCAACCTGGCACACACTAAAAATCTTAGCATGCCTCTACTGCAAGGTCTGGCTCGCTTGCTTGAACTTCTGTCAAGTTGGTTTAATGTGACCTTGGGTGGCAAGTTGTTGGAGCACCTTAAGAAATGGTTGGAACCTGAGAAACTTGCTCAAAGTCAGAAAGCATGGAAGGCTGGTGAAGAGCCAAAAATTGCTGCTGGTAATTTGTCTTGCTTACAAAAATAGATGTGAATAATCTATGCATGGACATCCAGACATGGATAAATAAAAAATCAACTGGTGCTTCTTTAATAGAGATATCAGTTTTGTCATTTTTTTCCTTTGCAGCTATTATTGAGCTTTTTCACTTGCTTCCTCAAGCTGCGTCAAAGTTCCTTGACGAACTCGTTACGTTGACTATTGAGTTGGAAGGGGCCTTTCCGCCCGGACAAGTATATAGTGAGATCAACAGCCCATATCGTCTTCCACTCACAAAATTTTTAAATCGATACGCACCACTTGCTGTTGATTACTTTCTTGCTCGATTAAGTGACACAAAATACTTTAGGCGGTAAGTATAAGATGCTAGATTAGAGTTAATAATGTGGTTGTTTTATATTAATTGTGAAGTATTCTGATTGTTTGAAAAGTTAGAAAGTGCCAACTTAATTATTTATGTATTTTTGCATGCCTCATGGATTGGCCGTCAAGGCCCAAACATGGACAAAGTACATGCCCACCATATTTTCGGCATTAGCTGAATCTTTTTTTAATATAAATGCGACCCCAGATTCAAACTCTTGAAACTGGTTTTAATGACGTGAAATGATGGGATTGGATGTCTAATTGTTTACAAACTTAAATTGATCGGAAATTCTGAACTTAATTGTTTGCATAATTAACTTATATTATGTTTTATGCTCTCCTTTTTTCCTTATTCAAATTCAGGTTAATGTATAT